AAATGCTGGTACCATCTGTTAGCAGGGGGGAACTAATTTTTGTTTTTATGTCGATGTTTTCCTACTAACAATAACTACTGTATTTTTTATTATTTTTTGTAGTTTTTGATTGCTAAGAAGTTGATCGATTTTCGATTAAATACTGTAATTCCACAAATGCCCCTACACTTTTCTTGCTGACAACAAATGCCCGAATATCCTTCTGCGTTCCACGTGGTCTCGAGTATTGTTGCATGTGATAAAGCCGCTTCTTGACACGGACAATTCCAACATCAGAATCACCTGCGCCCACTGGAAAGTTGAAATTTTTTATAAACTTTTTATCATTATTTCAGCAATTATTTACATTTATTTAATTGCCCACCTGGCGTTTCCACTCCTTGGACGTTTGAAAGATTTCTTCATAGGTTCGCGTCATCATAGCGATAAGTAAATTGAACTGAAGGATTGAGACACCCATTTCGAAAAGGATAAAGCACACCTAAAAAGCGTATTTCACAAGCTAGGAAGGTATATTATTACTTTTCCAATCGTAGACATCAATAACGAATCACAGGCTGCCAGTTCACGATAAAGTGACATAAATTCTCCTGAAAAAATTTAAATCTTGGCTAATACTAGCAAACCGATAGTCATAATAAACGTTCGAATCAAAGCCTCCTGCGGATTCGGAATCAGGTTCTAAAATATTGATATTAAGTCAAATTTATTCAACTTATACCTGAAAAGAATCGCCATCATCAGCCGTCGTCTGTGTGACGGTCACATTTGCCGTATATGCAGCCCGTTCGCATGCAGTAAATATGAGGTCGAATGCTAGAATTAACATATTTTCATTAACTATTAAGAAATAGCGAAAATAGATACTTACACTGTGAGAATCCGACAAGAAAGATGATGTAGATTACGATAAACCGAGACAGATCCGACGCGATAATTGTGTAGATCATCAACACAAAAGGTCCGACGAATTTCACGGCTCTGAAGGTAGTTTAAAAATTAAGGCCAGGTAAGCTGGAAGGTATACCGGCTAGTAATAAAGAAAATGTATGGTCGTCATCGGCACAATAATTGTTGAAATGACGTTGTCGAGGATAAAGAAATATTCGCTGAGATGGCAGCCCAATCGAAGCGGGATAATCAACAAAACACCGAGGAATGTTGCTTTGAAGATTAGTTTGGCGGGGAAGGCTGCCTTAAAATATTTGTCTTTTTGCCATAACCATTTTATTTTCAATTATTTCAAACTGGAAGTAATCATAGTATATTTTCTGACGCTCTCTGGAATGGTGTTCAAGAAATTTTGCTCAAATTTTGAAAATATCGAAAACTAGCTATTTTACCCCATTTCGATGGTTATTTTTGTTTTGTTATAACTTTTACATTACCATATTTTGAGCTTGAATTAAAACTCGTAGTGTATTTTTCGACGCTCGATTAAATGACGTCGAGAAACTCCGAAAAAAAGCAAAAATATCGAAATCGAAAAATTTTGATTCTTGGGCCGGGGTCAGTCAAACCGTAGCTCGAAAAATAGACTAGGAGCTTTTTAAAGTCCAAAGACCATGTTTAAAACCTTTTTATTATAAAAAACTTTGCTCCTATTTGCCCGCGTTTTCGTATCAAATTACAAACCATCACACTCCACCACTTCTTTCTCCCAATCCGCCGAAAGTCCATTATATCCATGATAAGGTGCAGAATCACTTGTAGAAGCACCAGCACCTCAGCCCCAAGCCGTACCTTAAAAAAAAATCGATGGTTGATACACCTCCTTCTCCTTACATATCCCTGCATTATTGGCAACTCGCCATAGTGCATCAAGTGGCACCTCATTTTTACATCATCTGAAACCAGCGTTAAAAAGTGGTTTCCACCCTACCGTAACGTAAATTGGAATATTCGTAGTACCGAAATTGTGTAAGGTCGTCAACTTCGACAAGGGTTAAGTTATAATCCACCTAAAACATATATAAAAATGTAAATTATTTAATGTCAAAATACATCTTTGACCATCCTGGAAAGATCATACGTTTGACCATCTCCATTTATCATACCATTTGTTGAGATCTGAAATGTGAGGTTAGAATTCATGGGGTTTTTTTTATTGGTTACCCTCAGTTGTTAATGAAAATGGCCGATTCATGTATGCCAGGAAGAAGAAGACGTAGTAAAAAACGAAGAATCCCAAAGAGCGATACCAGCTTTAATTAAAAATTGGTTCGACATTTTCGGCTTTCAAAAATTAAACCTATTAAATGAAAATTTGACGAATTATTGGCCAACTAATGATGAATAGAATTTCGTCCAGTATTAGACTAATGAACCCACCGAAAAGCATACCAGACTTTCGCGTACGCATCCCATTTGGCTTGTAAAATATTTTCCAAAAGGCCGTCGAGCAATTCAAGATGTTCACCGGTTCCTATAAATTTGAAATTATAGTTATGATCTATTAATGTAATTCGAGTTTCATGGAAGAAAAAGCAATACAAACAAAGCCCCATAAACAGCCAGCGACAATGCTGACTGCTCATTCATTCCTCCATTTTCTCGTTAATGGTATCAATATCGGCAAGAGGGTAGGCGGTCTATAAACAAAATGAATTTAGTATTTTTAGTTAAATTTAATTAAGATTTAATTTGCTTACTATTTCTTAAAATAATTCACCTGTGAAGCTTCACCGTATGACCAAACCGAGTCCGACTCCAGATCAAGAAGTTCGATGAAGATCTAGATCATAACAGAGAGTGATTTTTTATTCTTACCTTTTTCTTAGCCAGCTTGACGGCCAGTGTCAAGGCTGTTAATCCTTGTTTGTTGGTCACTCGCAGATTCGCACCCGTTTCCACGGCTAATCGTAGCATTTCCTGATTTTACTTGTTTATTTGATCTTTTCCACTTACCATATTCTCATGAATGACACACATATGCAATACCGTATTCCCGTTTGTATCTTTTGGCACTTGGGTTTATGGCCTAAAAAACATTAAAATCTTGGCTTATTCGGCACTGGACCGTTAGCGGGGGGGGGCTAATTTTTATTTTTCGTCTATATATTGACCTGCTCATAGTAAATAAAGAACTTTGGTAATGTTTTTCGAAATTGTTGATTGCTAAAAAGTTACAAAAATTTTTCAAAATTTTGCCAAATTCGAAAATGTCGATATTTTTGTCATTTTCATCTATTTTTGAAGTTTTTATGAGTTTTTATGTCTAAAAACTTTGTAAAATGGTACAAAAATGGCTTCATTATATTATTTTGTTATTTCCCGTACATCACCGTACCTTCTTTGCCAACAATAACCGATAGCACTCCGGCTGGTTCATACAGGCCGCAAAATGCAGTGGATATTCCCCGAAATACATTCGACTAAATTACGCAAATAAAGCACGTAAAGGTGTACCCTTACCCCGTATAGTTCGTTTTTGTGCTCAGCTCGACATACTCGTGCTCCAGCGAGTCGGTGCGACTTGATTTTTGGTCTTCGGCACAGAAGAACGCGCCGTGACACCTTAAAGGTATTAGAGAGTTATAGAGTTATATAAGTTGAGTAGGGTAGCTATAATTATAATATTCCACAATACCGTTTGTTAACGTCAGCCCCTCGTCTTAATAAGATGCTGACCATATACGGATCCTCATTGACGATAGCCTGGTGCAAGGGGGATAGGCCTAAAATCGGTAATTTTCGATGTTTTGGCTAATTTTTTGTAGTTTTTTCGACGTCATCCGATAGAATATTGTAAGAAACTTACTAAGAGTTTTTATCGCAGCTCGAAGTATTGTTATATTAAAAATTTATAGCAAAAACAACAATTTTTACATAGCAACAAATTGACAAAAGCTAGTTTTCGAAATTTTCGGTATTTTTACAAATTTTTTTAAACGTCATTTGATAGAGCGTCAAAAATATACTACTAGTTTTATTTTAAACCCGAAATAATGTAATTTAAAAGTTACTGCTAAAATGCAAAACCGGAAAACCGGTTTAATCCTAATTTTATGTTATAATTTTAATATATTTATTTTTTGCAATTCCCTTGACTATTCTATGATACTACTAATATCACCCTCCTAGCTTACGAAAAAGCTACCTTCATTTCATAGTCAATTAACTACCGTATATGGTGGGAAACTTTCAAGAAAAACCGCCTAAATTCCCAGGGTGATGGTGGGAAAATAAGATCCCAACACCCTCCCAAAACGAAAAGTATTATTGTTGATGAATACGAGAACTTTTGTTGAATTAGCGATACTACAGCAAAAGTCAACGAGTAAAATTGTACCATAATAATCCTCAGAGACGTTGAAATCGTTGACGAGCTTTGGAAAGGTGTCCAATAGCTTTAGGGCCAGCATGTTGTGAATTGAGGTGCCTTGGAGAAGACAAACACCAAGTAATGTTTCACCCATTGACCCTAAAAATAGAATTTTTGTAACAAAACAATCAGGTTTTTATGCATTATCGGGGGGGGGGGGACGATGCTTTTTTGTGTAAGTTTAGAAACATCCAGGAATTTAATAGAAAGTATTTTTGCAATTTTTAGTAAAATATACATATTTCTACTAAAAAACTAACGAAAATCCCCTAAAAAAATTTTACAAGTCGAAATTTTTGTAAAAAATCGGCGATTTTTGGTCCAAGCATCGAAATTTTTTTAAAGCTTGAAACTTTGTAAAGTTTTATGTTTATAAATATCACACAAACATTTAGAAACATTTTCGCTGTTTATATTAGAAAAATTGCACCTCCCCCCGATAATGCGCAGGAACCAAAATTCCACACAAACCTCGCTCCTCCAATTTCCAACAAACTTCACGATATTTCGATTCGCCACCCTTCTTCCCGCCTCCATCCAGTAATTTCAAGGCTAGATTTCATGCAATTATATCTCTCAACGTCATGCTCCCCCACCTTTCCTCAAATCTCCGACGTTCGCTCCTTCCTGGTTGAACTCGTCGAGCACGTTGGGCCCCGATTTTCCCTTGCCCTTTTTCCGGGAGAATGCCGACAACATGGCATTTCGTTGCTAAAAAGGTATCGTCAAACATCCAGAAGTAACCTTACTTTATTTCTGATCTTCACAAGTTCCGGTACAGTCACAATCTTCCCTTCACCCTCACGATATAGAAATTCTCGAACCCGCACATCAATATAACCGTCGATAATTGAATGGTCGTTCGTTTTATGGGCATATCTGAAAGTGATGGAATATCGCTCAGTAGTGCCGCTTTCATACCTCATCCAGGGTATCAACTCTCCGCCTCCATGCATATCAACAAATCGATATAACAGGACATCTTCGCTGAGGCGGCCCATCGTGCCCAGCTTCATTTTGTCGGCGTCGGAGGAGTGTGATGAGCCCATTTTGACGCCTGACGGATCGATCATAGGGTATTTTCATTAGATTGGAATGGAAAGGAAAAAACAGAACGGTGATGTGTAGTTATAAAGTCGTCTGACTTAGGGTTAGGCCTTCGGTTAGGCTTAGGTTCGGGCTAAGGTTTAGGCTTAGGTATGGGCTTAGGCGTCAACCTCGGCTTCCGCTTCGGCTTGGGCGTCGGCTTAGCATTGGACAGGCGTAGGCTTAAGCTTAGGATTAGGAATAGGGTTTGGCGCAGGCTTAGGTTAGGAGTGGTCCCCGACCACTTTACTTAGGTTTAGGTTGGGCTTAAGCTTAGGAGCTCCGGCTTAAGCTTAGGCCCAGGCTAAAGTTTGGGCTGCTTAGAGTTAGACTTAGGCTTAGGTTTAGGCTTCGGCTTGGAGCTAAGCTTAGGCTTGGGCATAGGCTTAGGCTATGCTTAGACTAGGCTCAGGTTTAGGTTAGGCTCTGGCTTAGACTTAGACTTGGGCTTAGGCTTCAGATTGGGCTTCGGCGTAGGCTGGCTTGGGCTTAGGTTGGACTTAGGCTTAGGCTTGGGCTTAGGCTTAGGCTCAGAATTAGGACGAAACGTAGGTTAGGGTTTGGTTTAGGAGCTTAGTCTAGGTTTAGACTTAGGCATGGGCGGAGATTTTATAAAGAAATAAGGACAGAAGTGTTTCCTAAAAAGTGAGTACTTTAGCTTTAATAAGACTTCGATAATGAAAATCAAATGCCGGAAGTGGAAGTGGAAGCTCGAAAACCCAACCCAGCCGCCCCCAAATACTGAACGGGCGTCCCCCTGCTTCCCCCCAAAAGCGACACCGCCAAAAAGCACATGTCCCCGCAGAAAACATAGCCCTGTGGCAGGTGGATAATGGGTTGCCGACGGAGCGTGGCCCAAGATTGACTGGCTGACGGCCGTTGAGCCTCAAAATTCCATTAACCGGTGCCATGGGAATGTGTAGACCCCCCTTGAGGGTCCCCCTCCCCACCACCACCCCCATTGGAGCTACAAAATTGAGCCCACAGCCACATAGCGCGGTAGTGCGAGAAAATGCCCGCGCCAATAAACGAACCTCGTCCACAACCATCTATCAATTATTCCCCTGGGTTGGCTAGTGGGGGAAAGGGCGCTGCAAAATCTTGACTTCAGTGTTTTTAAAAATCACGGTTGATTGGGTACTGGGCTGTTAGCGGGGGGGATTGGTAGCGGTTCCTAGAAGACGAATCTTTGTTTTTCCTACCTGTAAATAATAAATGCTAATATGTTTTCAAAAAATCTTGAGCATTTTTTGATCGCTAGAAGGTTGCAAAATATTCCAATATTTTTGAAAATTTAAAATCTTGGATTTTTCGGTTTTTTTATCAAACAAAAAGTCCGACATTCTCGCAAAATTTTTAAAGCTTGATAGGCTTTTTTATATCCAAAAGAGTGTAAACTGGTATAAAAATGGTTTATATTTTGCGGTAGGACCGTAATTATTTAATGGCCTGGAAAAATTAGTTTTCTTCAATTTCTGTGATTTTTTTAATTTTTAGACTGTTTTAGACATCGATCTCCTTCCAATTCCGGCTAAAAATCTGTCAATCACTTTGTAAAAACGGATGGTTTGTATAAGCTGTGCTAAATGAACTAAAATATGAATAAAATAAGAATATAATCTTAACTAAAAAAGGCAGCAAATCATTTTCTTCTCGTCGCTCTCAATATACACCATCTCAGAGTCCGTTTTTTTTACAAATGAAATATGAGCCGTGGGATAGCCGATGAATTTGGCGGATGCTTAGCCATAAAGCTGGATCCCCAACTTCAGAGCACGATGAGGAGCTTCTCTGAAATGTTGTGAAATATCTGAGCGGAAGCACAGTTTATCGAAAAGCCCTGCAAGGAGTTTTTCCCTAAATTGCTTGTTCTTAATAAGCCTTAGTAGCCGTGGAAAAACCGGTGGGGGGACGGACCTCGAAACCTGGAACTGGACAAGACGCTCTTGCTCACACGAACCTCTTGCTCCCGAGGCTAGATTGGCGACCTCTAGTCTCGAGCTTGTTCGAAACCATAGCTGGACAAGTTTCGGGACAGCTAGGAACCTTTCTCTTCGTCTTCAAGGCTTCTTCCTTCTTTAAGGGTTTACGGATTTTGCGAACGCCGCTTTTTTCGGCCGTTTATAATATCGACACGCTGCATTTACTTCCGGTTTTCAAAGAATGGCTTCAGGAAAATGGTCGTCTTTCCCGCCCTTTCTACAACAGACAAGACTCCCCCAGATCGTTCATTGGACTCAAATCCGGTCTGTCCAAGGAAAGCAACTTGGCCATCCCTTAGCAAAAAAAGTGGTTCTCCTCGGCCTAGTTCCGCCCAACCAGCTCCCTCGGCAGAAGCCCACCATTAACCAACTTTCACACCAATGTCCGCCCGGTCGGTCTGAAACGGAGGGGCGAGCGGAAATTGTGGAATTGACCCACATTTTCGCCCTTTCCACCCACCCAACGCGACCACGCGTTGGTTTTACCTCTTGCAGCTTCTTAAAGTCGTTTAGTGAGGTTGATGGAGACATTTACTAGGGAATGGTTTCGGGCGGACATCGGACCTAGATATGTGAGTATGTGCATCTTGTAGAGCTCGACGAGACGAATCGATTGATGTAACTTTTAGCTGCCAACGCCTTTAAATAAAAAAGTTACAACGATTTAAAGTTTTCTGGCATGCCTTCATAAGCCCTCCCCGCAACCCAGTCGTCATGGTCTGGTGGCCTAGTGGTCTAGTGGTCGGCGTCTGGGGAATCTAACGAGGGTTCGAACCCGCTCAAGGTTTTTATTTTTTGCTTTTTTGTCCGAAGGTTCCTCATTGCTGTCTAAAGGCCTTGAAAAACTTTTTGTGCATGAGTTATACACCAAGAAGCGCTCCCAGTAAAAATACAGCTTCGGGAGAAAAATTAAATTTTTTGATCCTATTGGCTGGTGCCTGGCTCACGCCTCGAAAATGTTTAGAGATGCCGCCAAAATTGAGGACACATTTTTTTTACAACGTTGTATCGTAGCCCAATTTCCAGGAAAAATGTTGTATTTTGTCCTGAACTAGCCCTACTATGAATATATTGAAAATTTTCAAAATGTAGCAAAAAGTTTAGGAGTGGTATTATCGCTAGGAGCGCTTCTGGGTGTATAACTCATGCACAAAAAGGTTTTCAAGGCCTTTAGGCAGCAATGAGGAACCTTCGGACAAAAAAGCAAAAAATAAAAACCTTGAGCGGGTTCGAACCCTCGT